CCCGCGGGCAACCCGCGCCCTCCCCCACCCGGAGCGGCTGGGTTCCTCCTCCGCGGAACCGCCTCCACTCACTCCTCCTCCGCCTCCAGCGCCACCTCGTATCTCCTCAATCCCGACATGTCCTGGGCTCCGAACGTCTCCTGGGGAGCGGCACGATGGATCAAGGCCTCCCCAACCCCAGGCCCCCTTCTCGGCAATTCCCGGGACCGGTCTGGCTTGTCCCCAGGTAATCTGAGGTAGGTGCCCCCGGGAAGCCGCAGTTGCCACATCGGGACAGGGTGGGATGGGAGGTTTGGGAGGCACTGGACGTTAAGGGATGAGGATGTCGGTCACCTCGGGGGCGAGGGGCACTCAGGGCGGAAGGCTTGGCGGTCATGGGGCTGGGATACTTGGGGCCCCGGGTGAGGATTTGCGGGGGGCTGAGGTCACCTGGCGGGGGGCTGAGGGGTCGGCGCAGCCTAAACTCCCGCCCTCCCTGGCTCCACCCCGGAAACTGCCGTTACGGTTACGTCACAGGGACTCCGCGCGCGGGGGTGGGGATTGCCTGTTACCCGGAAGGGGCGGGACCAGCTTTTCTTCAGAGGAGGCGGAGTCAAAACGTCACGCGAGGGGGTGGAGCCAGGGCCTGTCACTGAAGGGGCGGAGTCGGGGTTTATTATCCTGCGGGGCACAGGACCCCCTTGATAAGAATGGAGTCAGAGTTTGGCGCCTCACCCTGGGAGACCGAGACCGAAGCACCAGGCAGTGAGAAGAGGGCTTTAGGATGCGTCCAGTACTGTTTCCCCAATCCCCCTCCTCCTCTCCCTCTCCTTGGCTTCTGCCCTGCCGATGAACTTTCTTGTCTGCCCTAATGCAGTTGTATGACCCTGGGCTGCGGAGGAATAGGCCTCCAGGGAGGGCCCAGTCTACACAGGCCAGGCCCCAGGATACTTGTTGGCTGAGTGGCCTGGGCCAGGGCACTTAATGGCCAGAGGGTCACAGCCCTTCCTCTCTGAGCTGAGACCTACTTCCTGTGATTTTTGTTCCTACAGTCATTCAATAAAGAAGTCTTTATTGAGCGTCTGCTGTGTGCCAGGCACTGTGCTGGGCCTGGGGTTACAGCAGTAGAGAAGACAGGTGGAGTCTCTGCCCTCAGAGAGCTGTCATCTGGGTTGGAGATGGGGGATTGAAAGAGACCATCAGATCATTACAATAAACACGGCAGACTGGCTGGGGGAAGAAGAGGGTGCTGTGGGAAAGCCCAGAAAGAGGGATTACTCCACTGTGGGAGGTTGGAAATAGCTGCCCCAGGGAGGGGGGAAGGGAGCCTTGTGGCTGGACTGTAGGGGAGAGAGTGACCAGAAATAAATGAAGTGGAAGTTCTCCCAGGCTAAAGTGTGGAGAACGGATATACCTACTTACTACCCCCCCAATCCCACCCTCTTTCTCCCTCTCATACCTATCTTCCCCTGCCTGGGCTACAGACAGGTGACACACAGATCCGTGGGTGCCAGTGGGCTATATTGGAAGCATTGCAGTCTGGGCGAGGAGGAGCTGTGCTCCCACCACATTCAACCCCTCACTCTCACTCACACTCACACGGACACTCCAGGCTCGCCCTGGCTGGGTCAGGTCTGGTGCAGGGGAGCTGGAGGCCTGATTCTCCCTTCTGGTCCGGGGTTCCCCAGGGCCACGGTGGTTCACATCACTTCACTCAGACACAGGGCTCCCTCTGGGGCTGTCATGCACTAACTGCTGTGGCGCTTGCTCTGGAGGAGGAAGGAGAGGCCAGGTCATGGGCTGGGGTCTTGGGCAGGGGCTCAAGGGAGGAGGCAGGACTAGGGAGGGTCAGGTTTGCCTTTACAGAGTTCTTCTGCAGTCTCCGGATGATGCAGTCCACCCAGGGCTGGTCTGGTGGTGCACAGAGCTGGCAACCTCTCAGTGTGGTGAACCTGGAGTCAGAGAGAATGGAGCAGTCCTGGAACCGAGCTTCCTGGCAAGCCCTAGTATGAGGAGAAGAGCTGAGGACCACATCTGGGAATCTATTTCAGGGGCTTCCTTGTGAGGAGGGACTCAGCAGGGAGAAGGGAAGTAAGATGGTGAGTGGAGGCCCAGGTGATGGAGGAGGTGAGTGGGAGGGGAGGCCTGACCACTCGCCACCTCCCACCCACAGGACAGCAGTATCCTGTAGCCATCCTTGAGGAGAAGATCAGAGCAAAAAGGCACCAAAAATGTTCCTAAGAATTGAGTGTTGGTTCACCAAGAGATAGAGTTGGCATCACTCAGAGCAGGGGGGTGGGGTTAGCCTTAGGGCTTGAGGGACCATAGATGGGAAGGCCACAGCCCTGACTGGAATTCAGGACACTTGTGTCCAGTGCCATAGCTTTAGTGTTCCTCTCTTCCCCGCCCATGCACACTGTCCTCTTCTTCCTCTGGAAACTCAGGCTGGAGGAGACAGAGCCTCTAGAAAGAAGGGCAGCCAGGGCCCAGGACCCATCCAGGCACTGACATATGGAGGAACACCTGCGACACAGGTGTATCTGCATCACAGAGGAGCACACACAGGGCACAGGCACACCCACACTGCACAAGCCCATGTGTAGACTGTATAGGAATACACACAATGCAGAGACATACCCACAGTGCACAGGGACACACAGTCATGAGGGCACACCCATTTGGCACATGTACACTCTCAGGTTCATAGACCTCTCTCAGACCTGAGTGTAGCCTGAACTCACAATCTCCTTCACAGACTCCCTGAGAGCTATGTGCGGGTCCCTGCTCTGCCCCTCACCTTACCATTTTACCCCCTCCCCTTTCCAGGGGAGACCAAGAAATCAGTACGCTGAGAAGAGGAGTGGTGCTGCACAGGACCATGGAGGACGGATAGAGACGGACAGATGGGTAGAACCTTGGAAGCAGCACATGTGTGGATTGCAGGAGTCCTTCTGCTTGTGTGGAGCCTGTGTAGACTGTGTGAGGCTAGATGGGGGAGAGTGAGCAGAAGTGTGATGGCGAGAGTCCTGTGAGCGTGCGTGTGTGAGCCTGTGTGAGGCTGTGGCTGTCTACTGTTTATGGCCACCTGAAGCTTTCATTTTCTATGTCTGGAAATTTCTTCCCTTCTGTGGTATAATAAAGAATTTGACTGGCCTTTGTCCCTGGTTCCTGAGAGGGAGACTCTAAATCTTTGGAATGTCCCAAGTAATGAGAGTATCTTTGTTATTTATGAACCCCTTGGATCATACCTGAGTTTATGCTGAGAGATGAGATGACTTAGGATGGGGGCTGGTCACCTGAAAGACCAACCATGTCATTGCAGAATTGGGGCTTTGAGCCAGCCCAACCGGGGGGGGGGGTGAGGGGGCCTGGAGATTGAATTTAGTCACGTGGTCAACAGTTCGATCATATCTATGTGATGAAATCTCAATAAAAACCTTGGACACCAAAGTTGATGGATCTTCCTGGTTGGTGAACATATTGGTGTGCTGAGAGGGTGCCCTGTGTGTCTCTTCATTTGGCTGTTCCTGATGTTTATCCTTATAAAAAACGAGTTTTAAGTATGGCACTCCTGAGTTCTCTGAGACACTCCAGTGAATTATTGAGCCTGAGGGCGGTTGTGAGAACCTTCTGGGCATGTAGCTAGTTAGTCAGAGATGCAGGTGGCCTGGGGACCTCACTTGTGGCTGGCATCTCAAGTAGGGGCAGGCTTGTTGAGATTGTGCCCTTAAACCTGTGGTGGCTAACACTAACTCTGGGTGGTTAGTATCTGAATTGAATTGCAGTATATGAGTTTGTAGCAGGATACTTTTCCACTAGATATGCTCCCCACTATCTCCCTCTCTCTGGGAGAACCTTTTTTCCCTTTCATAACTCCTCAGTAGCCTCCTTGTCCCCATTCACCCATTTCCCACTCCTTGTCTTTAGCTCCAAGAATCTCAGCAGTCCGCAGTTTGGAGGAAGGAAGGAGAGGTTGCACTGTTGCCCTTAGGGAAGATTTGCAGTGTTGTCTCCTCAGAGGCATTTGAACTATGAGACTTAAGGCTAGGGGTCAGGGCTTGGTTCAGAATTAGAGATTCTGGGGCCGGCCCGGTGGCGCAAGCGGTTTAGTGCGCGCGCTCCGCTGCGGCGGCCCGGGGTTCGCTGGTTCGGATCCCAGGCGCGCACCGACGCACTGCTTGGCAAGCCATGCTGTGGCGGCATCCCATATAAAGTGGAGGAAGATGGGCACAGATGTTAGCCCAGGGCCGTCTTCCTCAGCAAAAAAAGAGGAGGATTGGCGGATGTTAGCACAGGGCTGATCTCCTCACAAAAAAAAAAGAATTAGAGATTCAGTAAAGAGTGCCTCCCTCTTTCCCAGGTTTCTTCTCACCCCCACCTCTTCTGTGTGGTCCTAAGACCCCTGGAGAGGGAAAGATGGGACCCAGCTGGTCCCCTAGATTCCCTGAGGACAATCACAAGTAGCGGGATAAGGCTGGAGAAGGTCCCCTCCCAGGTTCCCCAGGTCTCCCTAGGCCTATCACAGTGCCTACCCATCCATCACCTGAGACCCACTCCTCCCTTGGACAAGCAGAGCTAAAGGGAAAGTTCTTTGGAAGCAGGTCCAGCTCCCCCACCTCACATCTCAGAACTCTAGGGCTTCACCCTCTGGCCCAGGCACTACTGTCACTCTCCCCATTGACACATTTCCCTGTGTTCCAAGCTGAATCAGAGGAATAGATTGAGGTGAACCTGGCCTAGAACACCCCCTTCTTCTATCCTGCCTTCCCTATCCTGGGAATTAAGAGGGGATTTCTGAGGAGAGGGGCTGGTCAGCTCACAGACAAGGAATCTAGAGATGAGGGAGGGGAGCAAATTCTTTTTCTACCTGATGAGAGAGACCAAAGGAGGAGACCTCTCAGGAGAGACTAATTGTGGAGTGCTATTCTGTTTCCCGTTCCCAGCCCTACAGCATATGATGTGACAAACTTAACTGTGGGCCCATTTATTTCTGCCTTATCTGTCCACCATCCATCCATCCATCCATCCATCCATCCATCATATGTCCATATGTCCACCCATCTTTGTCTCTTCATCAGTCCATTCTTCCTTTTCCATCTTTCCTTTCATCTGTCTTTTCATATCTTCATCTCTGTTTATTCATCTGTATGTTCAACCATTATCGATCTATTAACACATCCATTCATTTATCTATCATTTGTGGTAATAATTAACATTTGTTGATCCTTAAGTGCCAGGCACCCTGCTAAATACTTGAAATTTGTTGTCTCATGACAAAGCTATGAAGTAGAGTGCCGTGAGCTATGTTTTTGTTCATGCAGACACTTTTCTATACTCCTTTTTAAGGTTCCTGTAGGGAACTCCTCTCCCATTTCACGTGGTCTTGGTAGGTCTGTCAACCACAGTGCTCTGATCAGAGTATCCCATTCTCTGGCCACTGTAATATACTGAAAAAGTGAGTATGTGTCATAAGCACAGTTAACCAGAGCTTTTCGTGGGATTTGATGTTAGGAGAAAGAGGGCCTCTGGTTTAGATCACTCTCTATAAAAATTTAGACTTGAGGCTTCCAGTAGCCATATTTCCTGCTGCTAGAAGACCACCTGTCTATAACAGGAATGAGGCCCCTGCACAATGAAATCAAGTTAGGAGATGGCGATAACGTCTCTTGAACCCCTGGATCAAGTAGGGCTGAAATAGACTAAATCTTAACGGATCTAGTTATGTGATATGACAAATTTAACTTTTTGCTTAAGCTACTTTAAGTTGGGTTTTTGTCATTTGCAACAGAAAGAGCTCTGAATAATTATTATTATTATCCCCATTTTACAGATGAGGAGACTAAAACCCAGAAAGATTAATTTACCCAATGTTTCCCAGCTTATAAATGGCAGAACATTGGCATTTGGAGCAAAACTCTGATATACTACCTATATATGTCTGTCTGTCCATCCGTGTATCCATCCATCTATCCATCCATCCATCCCATTCATTTATCTGACCATCCTTCAATGCTAAGACACCGAAGGCAATAAGCCTTGTCTCACTTGCCAACTCCAATTCTGAAGCTGGGTTTGGGTCAGAGATTAGCAAACTTTTTCTGTGAGGGTCAGGATAGTAAAATTTAAGATTTTTCTGGCCATTCTGTCTTTGTAGTGACTACTCAGCTTTGCTCTTGTAGCCCAAAAGCAGCCGTAGACAATATATAAATGAATAGGCATGGCTATATTCCAATAAAACTTTATTTAAAAAAATAGGTGGCAGGCTGGATTTGGCCCATGGGCCATAATTTGCTAATCCTTGGTCTAGATCTGTGGGGAAGACACATGTCCTACCGTTGTTGGGAACATGAGTAGAGAGTGGGAACATATATGCCTTGCATTTGCCATTACTAATGTAGTGGAAACAACAGGATTTTTATACTCAAACTCTTGTGTTTGAATCTGGCTTTATGACCTTGGACAGATGAGGGAAGAGGTGACAGTTTCCTTATCTGTAAAATGGGAATAATATATATCTGGTGAGGTGGGACATGTGCCTGACTCACAGTGGGCACTCAGTGAAAGTTAGGTCTGTCCCCCTTTCTTGTTCGTCACCTACCATGTATCACCAGTATCAGGAGGCCTCTCTCTCTTCAGGGCATCTCAGCATGCAGTTAGGACAGCTCAGTCTGGCTTATTGAGTTCAGGAGCCCAGCTTCTAAGAATGAGCTTTCATACAAGTTACGTAGATTACGCTCTTGCCAACTCCAAATTTCTCTTTCTAGTAGCTCTACCCCAACTCTTATCTGCCCTGTTCCAAACCTAAAGCCACTCTAGTGCTCAGCAAAACAAAGGGCTCTCCAGTCAACAGGCCGCATTAGACCTAGAAGCTGTTTAGCCATCCTCTTTTATGAAGTCCACCACTCAAGATATCATCCTGTTCTCCAGGGGGCTTTTCAGCCTATTTCTTCCAAACAAACACTCCTCTCCAGGAGAAAAGATTGTGTCCATGTGTGTTTGTGTGTCTGTGCCCATGACTGTGTGTGTAATCATGTATATGTGTCTCTATGTGCGTTTGTGTCCGTATTGTGATTATATGCCTAAATGTCTGTGGTGTGTCCTTGATGTATATGAGTGATTGACTATATGCCTGTGTGTGTGGGGGTACAGACATATGTGGGTGGGTGAGGGTGTTGGCACTAGTGTGTTTGTGTGTGAGCATGTGTTCTGACTGCTTGTCCATCCATTTCTTTGTGGCTCTCAGCCTCCCATGGCCTGCAGGGGGCGTCCAGTGCACAGGGAAAAGGGGATATGAGGCTCCTGGCCTGGGCTCAGCCTCCTGGGGCCTGCAGAGGGCATCTAGCGGAAATAGGATTTAGGGCTCCTGGTCTGTGGAAGGAGGGCTCTGGCCTGAGGAGGCTGGGCTATCTTGTTCCAGAAAGGAGCTGGAAATGAGCACAAAACCAGATGACTCAGCTCCTGAAAGTCCCTGATCCTGGGAAGGGGTCTGCTTCACATCCCCTCCTTCTCCAAACCCTCCCTCCATATCCAGAGGGTCCCTATCCAGTCAGAGGGCAGAGCTTGGCCCTGCAGTCCCAGAGTGTGGGTGACACATTGCACAGGACTTCTGGAGGTGACGAGACATCAGGATGGGGGAAGTCTTGAGCAATAGCACACCCCCCTTCCCTGCCTCTTGCCCTCTGGAGTCTGAAGTAACACCACTGTCAGTGTTTCCCGAACAGCCCCTCTCCTTCATTTCTTGCAGTTTGGGCCACTCTGAGCTCCAGGGTTCCTGAGCCTGGGCTGAGCTTGCTTGGAAGAAGCTCAGGAGACAAGGGCCCCTGAACCCGAAGCAGAAGGTGACCTATGTGGCTGGAGATGGGGTGCCCTGGGAGGTCAGAGGAGTGGCAGGGGAGGCTGCATGGTGGAGGGAGCTCTGCAGGGCCATGAGGATGGGTGAGGCAGGAAGGAGGACATTCCAGGTAGAATGAACAGCAAACAAAAGGCTCAGAGGAGGGACAGGGGTTTGTGATTAATCCCCATGTGGGTGAGGTGGGGGAAAGGCAAGTGGGGAGAGAGGCTATGTGTATGGGGGAGGTGGACTGGGGTAGTTATTTCTGGCAGATCTACCTTTAGAAAGATTCCTGAGGATGGAACTGTGGGGATGGCCAGCC